CAGGGGAAGTGCGAGATTGTGACTCGACAAGCTACTTCCATAAGCAGACCCCATGTCAGAAACCGGGCTTCACAAACGTCGCATAGTATTATTGATCTATTATCTTTGATGACCATGCGCTGCCCGCTGGAGTCCCGACTTGGTGGGGCTTATTAGGTCGACTGCATGAAATGTGAGGGCACCCACCGGCGATACCTCACTCCGTCCATCGCCGCGCTGGACACGGGTTATAGACATGGCCTGAGCCGTCGAGACGTCAGCTACGAAGGTGAGTAATTCGGTACCAGAATCACTACCAGGCACGTCTGCGTTGTCCTCATCATCGATATTATAGAAAACGCGCCAAAACTGCATACGTGAGGCATTAGGGCGCCGCGGACGAGCGTTGACTCACGATGATTAGAACGCGTCGACAGTGTGTTGGCGGCACGCGAAGCCTCAGTACCGATTGTAACGCTCTCGATGTGATGGGTAGAGCCATCACCGATGTTGTCTGGTACCATCGTGGAAGAGACTTGCCTCCGGCATGATGTGCAACAACACATTTCCCTACGCCAGCGCAGCCATAGTGTAGCGAGAAGCAACAGTAAAAGGAACGCACCCACTGCTGATAGTATTGGCACAGCATTCACATCGCCAATCTGAATACGACGCGCAATACCCGGGAACATATCTAGCCTTCGGACTTCCAGTTCTTTGCTAAAGCTGAGGTTGCGATTTACCTCTTTAGGTATTTTGCGGAATTTTGTTTGGTTGAAACCACCGATGTACAGGGTGCCATGGTGTATGGTTTGGCCCAAAGTTGAGTATCTAGGTGAGATCTGATATGGAGAGGTCGCAGTATGTACTGATGCGACAATGCATAAGAGTTTCGGGAGAGTGGATCATAAGCGCCTGTGCGGGACGCCTTCTAAGAGCGATATATAGACTCTTTGGGAGTCTGAGTGTTCTGCTATTCTTAATGACATCGTTATTTGAACAATGAAATGAGTGATAGTCATAACGCTGTTTGACGGACTCAAAGCCGGAGTTTACACGTTTCGATTCACGTGGAACCTCAGACCCCTGTACCAGAGCGTTTCCAAGGCATTGTTCTATACATTAGGTTCGGGACTCTGGGGCTGGAGTGCAGAGCAGATCGATAACACATGGTACGAAGAGGCTTGAAGTTGCATCATGCATCCCATCACACGATCGTCACATGTTGTCAGATTTAGGAATGGTCTGTATTAGAAGGGAAAGAAGGGATAGCTGATCGGGGTACCATCTTACTTAAATAGGTGGGAAAGAGACCTCTAACACCTAACATGTTGAAGTCCATGGCGCTCTCCAAGGTCTCGCAGCAGCCAGGGCGATTAGACGCGGAAAACGGCTGTATGTCTGTCTGGACAACACGTCAGTGGTAGATGGGCTCAATGGGACTCCACCTGAGACATCACAGAAAATTTTTCTACGATTCCAAGAACTTGCCACGGCACACACTCCTGGGGTGACCGTCAAGTGGATTCCTGGACACAGAGATATCAATGGCAACAAAGCTGCTGACACACTAGCAAAAGAGGGTGCCATGCTATAAACGGACGCAACGAACCTTCCCACAATCTCTTGGGTCAAGAGAGATATCAAAAAAAAGGGCAAGAAAGAATTTGATCAATAATAAAAAGACCAATCAGAACCTAGGTATCAAGAAGTATACTCATATATAATAACTAAAAAGGACCTTATATCTTTTGAAAGGAGCATTCTATACAGATTTCTAACGGCCAGATCTGAACATGGCGACTTTGCTAGATATTATGAACGTTTTGGGCATATAGACTCGAATGACCACTACAGCTACAGTAAGAAGAAAACACCACAATATATTTTCTTTTGTAAGAGGTTTGGGAAAAACTGACTACTGCCCAGGTACTTGCCTAGGACAGCCTGTTTACAATACTTGGGGGAGAGGAGCGCGGAATGGGCAAGATTTGTTAAGAAGAGCAAGTTCTTTTTATCAATCTGTCCTTGATAGATAGCTGTTCTTGAAGGACCAGATAGATAACCCTAAAGTCATACAGCTGCAACAATAGGGATGGGCCCGTGAGCGGGACTGACTGTACTTATTATCTTGAGACCTCCACAACCCTGCGATACAGAGGCTCTGGGAGGCGTGGTTTGCACTACTGAGGAGCTACCCCCCACGTTAAATACAATCAATAACAGCTAACATGTGATTCCACAGGACGACATCATAACAAGGCTAAGTACGCCACTGTTATGATATCTGACACATGATGATTCCTGTAACGTAACCTTGCTGATGAGAACAGATTGCGACAAGGTGCTCTAAATGCAAAGTTAAACATCGGGCCTCACTTTGCTGGCCAGGCTGGCCTCTCCACGGACTGTGGAGAAAGCAGGTACATGATCGTCATGATATAGGGGCTGTTCACTGCCCGTAGTGGAAGTTTGAAATCATTATGGATCATTTTATCGGTGGAGTAATCACTCTGGAATAAGCATTAATGGTGGCATATAAGAATGTACCTGCTTATTCTAGGGTGCTCATTTCATCGTCTATACCTTACCATGGGGGGGCTCTCGAAGTGCGCGGACGGAGACTTATGGGAGTGGTGGTATATTGATTTAATACGCCATTCTCATCTGCTGCCCTAGTTACCGCCAAGTGTCACACCTGACGCCGTTGGGGCTTCTTGTCTGGTAGGGCCTTAGACTGGATAGCAGCACCTGTATCGATATACGACAAAACCCACGAGAATGAACGAAAGTGCCAGGACCGCCAGAATGATCCCAATTGTCGCCTCGGTAGATATCCCTTTAGACACAAGTGTTCGTGTCCAAAAATCGGGCTCATATGCCACTGTTTGCGGTCTCTCGAAACGTCGATACGCTCCCATTTTGGTCGAAATCTAGTTCTGGCGCTCCTGGATGAACTCGTCGATCTTGATGAGGTTTCGTGGAATGTGCCGTGTCGGGTACGGGCAGAGGCTTTTGGAAGCTTTTGACATTATCCGCACTTTTGCTAAATATATATAGATTTGTCTGGCTTTTGGGCAATTACCAACTACGTGCAGGCTTATGATTGCTCTAGACTCAACTACCTGTCATCGTTACTTTGCATCTGTTCGGTTTGTCTCGCCTGTATCATATGAGTAGCAAAATCGGTGACAAGTCACCACCGGTCGACAGTCAAAAACGTCTTCCTCATCAATCGTCACAAAAAACTTTCGAGGCATTAAAAAGTGAATATCCCTTGACGTATCAAGACTGTGAGTTGCGGCTCCAGAGATGTGACAGCCAGCACAAGCTGTTAGAAAGGAAATTCCACGGACACAGAACTACCCAGCCTGCTCCCCGAACAGGGCTTCCATCTGACTCAACTTCCATTGCTACAACAAGAGGATTGTATCCTAGATTGCGTAGATGATGGAGAGCGCCCATGGACAACAAGCAGATGGTCGGAGACCACCTCACTAGGTACGACGGCCAATATGGGAGAGGCGGAAGGTGTGCAACCTGGACTGGGGGAGCTTTTCAGGTTAAGCACCCAAGAGTTTAGCCATTAAAGTTACAGCACCTACGATTAGCCTGCCATTCAACATCGGCGATAACGACCTTGGTAGGGTTCACGTCCGCGTCAAAGGGTACAATCAACCCCCTGAAGTCTCGTACGGCATGTCTCTATCCATTCTTGGGTATCAATCCAATGGAGTAAGCACCTGTTACAAACCAACAAAGACATACAGGGGAAGAGGCCCGATGGCAGGCCCAACGGAAGAGACAGGGACAGAAGAGAACCAGGAAGACACACAGACCACAGACCAAGAGCAAGGATCACGTGACCCAGGTATCACGTGACGGATATGCTGGATCATACATATCCAACATATCCACCTCATCAGTGAGGGAGAGATTGGATATATAAGGATGAATATTTCCTAGTTAGACAGATAGACAGTCTCTATCTTAGTGATCAATCTAAGCATCTTAGCCAACCCTAAGGTGAGAGAAATCTCCTGACGACTCGACTCCGAAGTGAACCCAGTTCAGACCAAGCCCCAGCATCTGGAGGTGTGTGGTTCGATTTCACCTTCGGGCATAAATTATGGTTTTTTTTTAACTTGGATTTGGCAAGCCATCTTGAATGCCTATATCAGAGTATTTATTGCACTTATGCGAAATTCACCTCTAGGCTTGCGGAGCGAGGGGTGTAACGTTACAGAGACTTTTGGAGGTTTAGTGACTTTCATGTCCATCCGCACCTTCCTGCTGATCGTTCGAGTGCATCGACTAACTCTCTAGGAATTCTCGTAGACGTCGGTGAAATGAAACGTTAAGCCTTCCGCGTCCAGAGAGGTCGGGTGGCTTGCTATTCCGGCTTTCTCAATATTGGGTATTGCCATACCAACACAGTGTCGTGATGCCACCCTCGTCTTCGCCTAGTCGACCATTCGACCCGCTGCCTTGATGACTCACTGTGTTTGATGGGCTGTAACGGCTTCGAAAATAGAGGCTTGGGAGGTTCATTCGTGACGCCAGTGATTCGATCATCAGCAACGCACTCGAGGACCGGCTTTAGATGCTGATCGGATGCTCAAAAAGTTTGCCAAATAAAGCACCTTCACTAGTTGTCCACCAAATCATGCACCTAGCTTGGTTGTCACGTTCCACTCATGTTTCACCATGATCTCGCCCTGTTTAGACAGGACCGGCGAATTCCAAGTGCCGAACTCCTCATCTACCCTGTGCCCAACAATGGCCGCCTCGTAAGCAGGGCCTACAGGCCGCGACTCGAGCTGCGATGTATTGTCAAGGCTAGACTGGAAGCGCGACTTCTGCTTTCATCTGTGGGCCGATACTGCACCCCTCCACGTAGTCGACTGCCCACGCGCCGTACTGGTCCTCGAATATTTCGATCGTCGTAGCAGGGGCCGCAGGAGCGGGATGCACGAGAGCGTCACGGCTACACTGCATTCGAGCGCACTGTATTCCATTGCTCATGTTGCGCCGGAGGTGATATCACCAAAGTCCACGTCGACAATGGCGACCAAACGCGCAATACCGACGGCAGTGGTACTAAATCCGATCGAACATCAGCAGGCGGATAAAACAAAACAGTGCATAAGGGACCACCCACAAGATACCCAGGGCGAACATTGCTATCAGCACTACCTTTTTGTACGTTGCCATCTGGATCTTGCTGAGATCATACACGGGCAGCGTGAGGACAACAGCGTCTGTGAGGATATTGACGACGCCCGCGCTCTTCCAACTTGCCAGCTGGTCGCCACAGTATCCACCAGGGATTGCTCTGTCCCAGTTGAAGGCGAGGGGTTGGCAGAGCAAGAATGTGACGAAGAGGGTCGCGATACCCCACAGTGTGACTATTGCTTGTGTCCCTCGGCACGCTACCATCATGGACGTCGTAGGAAAAATTGTGCGGTATAATTCGAGAATAGAGAAGCTTCGTAAGGGTGATCGAAACGGTGTAGACCAGTTGGACACTGAATAGGAACTGGTTCCGGTTACTATCAAGTCAGCTATCAGACAGGACCAAGTAGGGTGAGCTCAAGTACTGGGTCGGAAGGCATCTACTTTCGAGGACTCCATCACTTTGCCCGGTCCGAATGCCTTGACAACATCGGTCATGTGATAACTCATTCCAAGGCATTACGCAGCTAAGATCGTTAAACCGAAGGTCACAGAAAGAGCGCCTCTCGAGATGACGACTCACAGACTATCAACGCGATCTGGTAGCCAGTCGCAAGGCTGGTTTACTCTCGTTAGCATTAGTTCTGCCGTGATGAGTCGTGTGTCGAACCCACGCAAGATGGGATGATGAGAAAAATTAAGTTTGCGATGAGAGATCATTCGCGCTGCCAGTCGGAGAACGACGGCCACTGCGGAACAAAAGCAGCGACAACGCATATCGCAAGTATCGCTTGCTGCGGAGGGCCAATGGGTAGTTGGGAAGCCATGGTATGAAGGCGATTCAACGGAAATCATGCGGAAGTGTTCAAACCGGCGCATGGCGAATCGGGAGGGGGACGACGTTGTTTGATATACCGAGAGTGCATTTTCTTCGCTTGGAAACGACAAGTCAAACAGTTGACGAAAAAGAGATATTTCGCTCATCGCACGCAAGAGAGCAATTTTGGTGCGACCTACCAGGTTGTCGAAATGGGCTGGACCTGCGTTGAAGTAGAGGTAAAGCTGATAGGTCATAAACCTCTTTCCCTGTACAGGAGCGTTGCATTCCGTCTTCGGCTCAGGACCGCATTGATATGCTGCCCGCATACGGCATTACGTCCCGCATGGTCTGACCATTCCGATCAACGGCAAAACAGAAGTAGAATCTAGTTGTAGACGACCGTGGTCAGCTTTATCTAAACCGACACTCTAATAACTCAGCGACATTCTCTGAAGACGATATCCCTCATCTGCATAGGTAACGGGCTATTACTAATGCATCCCGTTTCTTTTTCTTGGTCAGAATTTCAGCATTGAGGAGCGGTGAGAAACCCCGGCTTCAATGTCGCCTCTGGAAGTGGCCGGGACGCGGCTGTGCGCGGTCTTTGGGTGAAGCAACCGAGATGATTGCCGGGCCGTTTATGATCGCCGGGACCAGGTTGTCGGGATGCCGAACCCTTTCAAGTGGGCCTATTCGTCAACGGCTGCGTTGACTTATCTGAGGATCCATACTCCAGGGTGTGATACCACCTTGTCGGGTATGATACCACCTTGTGTGTCAGACCCCCAGTGACCCCGCGTTTCTCATGCTTTGGTAAAGATTAGAGAAGCAAGAACCCTCGCACTTTCTTGACTCAGCCAACACACGATACTCACTCGAGCGAACATAACTGCATAACAAGCATCGGCAACTTACGTGATGGAGGTGTTGCGCAGCCAGGGCTGGCCGGCTATTGTAGCACAGACTCTCGTGGTGTTTGTGCTCACTGTTCTCCTGAGGCGTGTTTGGTTCAGCCCGATAGCAGATATCCCCGGTCCGCGATGGGCGGCGCTGACACGCCTTTGGCATATGGTATGTATGGAAAATATTGCTTTTCTGCTTCTTCTAGGAACTGGTCCTACTGGTCTGCGGAAAGATGACAACATAGAACCAGTACCATATATGGACTGGGCACCAAAATCTCACCTTGATCTGCACGCGAAGCATGGTGCGTGTCTCACTCTACCAACATCCTACGGGCTGGAGAACTGACGGCGCGGAGGCGACTTCGTCCGCATCGCGCCGAACGGAGTGAGCATTACTCACCCCGCGGCTATCAAATCACTTATCCTCACGCCTCAATATAAGGTAGGCCTTTCACCGCGGTGTCGATGAACAAGACGTTCTGACCGCGCCGTAGGGCCATTTCTACAACATCATGAAATTCCCCGACTGGAGGACTCCCCTACCCCTGTCAATTCTGGATCCCAAGGCTAAAGCAGAGATGAATCGACGCCTGGCTTCAGCGTACCCCATGAGCAATGTAATCAAGTCCGAGGAACAAATTTCTCGTCTCGTCGAAAAGTTGACGGGGTGGATGGACCAGCATGCGTCGACTCACGAGCCCATGGACCTAGCCAAGTTTTTGACCTTCACAGCCTTTGACGTCGTAGGCGAAGTCGTTTTCTCTAGGCCATTCGGGTTCCTCGAACAGGGTGTTGATATAGGAGACTCCATATCGCAGACTATGAAGTTCGAGGGCTATATCTCGGTCGCCGCCTTTGCCCAGTGGCTGCATAACTCCCGTGAGAATCTTCCCCTCGTATAAAGGTGGTCGAATGCGAGCTGACCCGAAGTGCGTAGTTGTTGCGAACCCTTTCATCACCTGGCTGGACATCATGCCCACGAACTACCTGTCGAAGACGTCTAACAAGGCGCTGGAGGAGCACAAGGCGAACCAAGATGCTCGTTTCGACTACGTCGCGCACTGGCTCAAGACGCACGAGGAGCACCCTGAACGCCTGAGTTACCGGGACGTGCAAGCGGCCGTGATGGCAAACGTAGGGTTCGTATCCAGGCCCGCTCCCACTGCATCATAGATACTGACCACGACGACACCTATTTAGCGCCGGCTCAGACACTGTATCCTGTGCCCTCCAGTCCTTCATCTACCATGCGATCAGGCACCCCAACGCCTGGAGCCGCATGCGACAGGAGATCGACGAAGCCAGAAGCAAGGAGGGAGCGTGCACTGACCGTGTGGTCACCTACGCTGACGCCCAGAAGCTGCCGTACCTGCAAGCCTGCATCAAAGAGGCGCTGCGCATATTCCACCCGGTGCCGATGGGCACGGCGCGAGTCGTCCCGAAGCAGGGCATCGTCATCGGCGGGCGCGCGCTCCCTGCCGGCACGACCGTGTCATTGAACACGTTCAGCATGAACCTGTCGACCGACGTGTGGGGGGCGGATGCCAAAGAGTTCAAGCCCGAGAGGTGGTTGAAAGAGGACAGTGCTCAGCTGGAGAAGCCGTTCATACCGGTAAGTAGTCCAAGTATTCCTGCGCTTTACAGTTCATGTCTGACGACCGCAGTTCTCCGGAGGCATTGGCGCGTGTGTCGGCCAGCATTTGGCCAGAATCGAGCTGTCCAAAATCCTGGCGACCATTGTCCGTGACTTTAATATTCGCCAGGTCGATCCGAAGCAAAAGTGGAGTTATCATGCGTATTTCACCACGGTGCCTGGCGGTTGGCCGGTATACGTAGAGAAGCGGGAGGCCGCGTAAGATGATGCAGCCTCAAGCTCGGCTGGCTTGGTGAAGTTCAGAGTTCTGGACATAAGCCAGGTGACTAGTTGTTGGATATCATACAAGGCTTAAGCTTTCGGGGCTGAATGCGCTAATGGGCTTATACTTTCCAACATTCAGATGGCGTCATTATCATATGTGAGCAGAATCCATCTGTGTATGTAAGCATGATGAGGCTGCCAGTTGCCGTGTCGGGTGACACAGGCTCCGTGGCCCCCATATATAGCGATCGCACACCAGAACAGAGTAGATAGACCTTTTCCTGAATACAACAACGCTGTACCGTTCATCACGCACTCATCGGATCCGGGATATTGCTCTCATGGTAGCATCTCTACAGTTCTGAACGATATCATTGACGAGAGCTCCCCCCTTTCCGACCCCCTGTCTGAGCGATACCTACACCATTGACCCCTTTCTGGTGCTAATAAGCGTTCTTTCTGTCATTATTGCATGTCATACGAAGACAAATAGCGACAAGTGATTGGCAATCTGTTGGACCGCGCCAACTATCTTGAAGCCATATTCAGGACGATGGCCGAACAAGATACTGCCCTCCTGGCAGATTGCGACGCTGAGGTGAAGTGTCTGCGAGATCAGATCGAGCAAATGATCATCGAGAGAAACGAAACAACTATTGCCCGAGATGAGGCAAACCTCGCAAGTGAGGAAACTGCTCGTGTGAACGAACAGATGAGGGCGAACTTCTCCAAGGATCTCAAGGAGATCAAGGAGACGATGGAGGCGATAAAGAAGCGCTCTTCGAGTTCGAGAGCTGCTAATCCTGACGCTGCTGAGAGTCCTCAGAGCGATCACAGGCCTGTTTCTCCGCTGAGATTCACGAGGGCATGGTTATCTACCCCATCTCCCTTCCCTTCAACCAACCCGTTTGCGCGTGACGTTAGGTTCGCAAACGACACTGCAAACAACCACAGTGAACACGTCATCTTCTCATCAGACGAAGAGGGCGATCAGGAGTGAGTCGACCCCAGTAACTCCTCAAGTGTAGAGGAAGTGATCGAAAGCCCCGCCGTCAGACTGGCGCACGAGGCATACGAGAAGGCTGTCGCCACCACCAAGAGCGCCGCCAAGGAGAAGAAGAAGGACTCAGTCAAGTCCAAGGTCAAGGCTGAGAGGAAGCCATTCGCGTTTGAAGACTCCTCCGAGAGCGAGATTCCGTTGCCCAGATCAAAAGGCAAACGGAAGGTTGTTCGCTTTGAGGATCTGACCACTGACGAATCCATCACCGACTTAAACGACGATCCTTCAGATGATTCGTCGTCGTCATCATCCTCAAGCTCCTCGTCGTCAGAAAACAAGATCTTGATAGGATCACACAGGAAGCGCAAAGAAGCGCGCCACAAGACGAAGCTTGAGAAGGTCGAGAGCGAGTGCAAGCTCAAGTGGAAGCGCTTCAGCTTCAAGCCTGACAAGGAGGCCTATCTCAAGGGCCCCGGCAACTGGGAGAGATATAGACAAGCTCTCTTCCTTGCACTGTACGATATCGGTTGGGAAGACGACATGAAGCTCACCGATCGTGACAACGTTCATCTGGCGAAGTACATTATCGAGAACTGCAAGCCGGAACCAATGGAGTTGGTCTCAGGGCTCCGAAGCGGCACGAAGATGCTCAAAACGTTTGCCAGAACGTGGAAGGACACCGGGAAGGTGTACCAGCGAGGTCTTTGGAGAGACCTAATGGGGCTCCAATACGATGGCAAGGACCCCACCAAGCACACGGCTACCTTTGTTTGTCTCGTTCATCAGATTCGAGACTCTGGATCGGACCTGGATCACGAGCAACAGGTCACAATGTTCTTGATCAGTACGGAAAAGAACGCTGGAGACTGGAATAAGACCACCAGCAAGGTCATTCGCTCCATGAAGAGGGTGAAGCTCCAGTTCCTGATTGACGACTTCACCAACAAGTTCAGGTCGAAGATCGGCAAGAATAACACTCCCCGAGGTGACAACAACAGCCACAACGCCGAATCTGACAATAACGGCGGTGGCCGAGGGAGAGGCAACGGCAGAGGCCGTGGAGGTCGAGGCCGTGGTGGCCGCAGTGGCCGTGGGGGCAATAACAACCGCGGAGACAATCAGGGATCCCGCGAATAGGACGCTGACGGCAAGCCCAAGTGCCGCAACTGTGGCAAATGGGGCCATATGAGACGCGACTGTACGAAACGTCAGCAAGATCAGCAACAACAGCCATCATAATAACAACAGTCTGGTGGCAATGCTCAGAAGGTTGAGCTTGAGGCAAATATACCACCAGGACTGGAGTTCGCGAAGGGGACGCGTGCCGGTGGAGGCACGTTCGCCTGCGAGGGAGATCCTGAGAGCCTCCTCGAGCTATTCAGAGACTATGATCGAGAGATGGCTGCTCGGATCGCTGCTGTTAAGATTGAGACTGGCGTTGCGCAGTCAGCGCTGATGGATTCGGATAGCCTCTTCGAGCTCTTCAGTGAATATGATGCCGAAATGGCCCTGAGAGGCGCAGAATCGGCCGATCAACACGAAGAAGGCGTCCATATTAAGGAAGCCCTGGAGAGCTCAATGAGTGCTATAGCACACCTAATGGAGGCTCGCTCCTGAGTCACGCTTATGCATGAAGAGGATCTTGTGTGATACGGGCGCAAACGTCACAATCACCAACGAAGAAGACGATATAGAGCCAGGCACCATGATCGATATACGCTCCAAGCGATATACCATTCGAACAGGTGCTGGCCCCGTCCTCATGGACAAGATCGGCGTGATCAGATGGGATTTCACCGGTCCTGGCGGTCAGAAGACAACCGCAAAGTTCAACTATGGCCTGTTTTGCAATGTCTTCCCGTTAAAGATCTTCTCTGGAGAGATCTTTTATCGCGGAGGAGGCCAGATCCAAGGGAACAACTTGGTGAATCCAGATGGCATGGTCTTGACGATTATTAACGTACCAAGGCGAGGATTCCTGTTGTGGGAATACGGTCAGCAAGAGCCTGCTATCCGATCCCCCAGACCAGCAGATCAATGAGGATGCGAGCTGGGGATGGCAATCGGTCAGATCAACGAGTTAAGGGAGGTACTTCTCTCGTGTTCCGTTGACGGCATTTTTGTGGTGTCAGACGAGCTTTGGAGAAGGCTCGTCCTCTGGCACAGACGCCTTTGCCACCCCAGCACCGAACGATTGATATGGATTATCAAACGCACCACAGGAATTGATCTAAACCCTGATCAGGTCGTCTGGATTCTGTGCATCGCTTGTGATCGAGCCAAGATCACCAAGATACCATCGAAGGATCTCCAAGAGAGAGGGCGATACGTCGGAGAGATCCTCTAGGTGGATACCGGAGAGATTAAGCCCATCTCCGTCGAGAGTAAGCGGTATTTCACCCTAATCGTCGAGGACGTCAGCAGATTTCGAGAGTTCTTCACGCACAAGACGAAGGATGAAGCTTCCGAGGCCCTGATCGGGAGGATGAGATGGATATCAGAGACCCTCAAGGCACTCCCTCCACAACCAGATAGAAGCAGACGTCGAATAAAGACGCTGCGCCTGGATGGAGGTCGCAAATTTGGCATGTCAGCGATGAAACAAGCCTGTAATGACGAGGGAGTCACCCTAATCACCTCCATGCCACACAATCAGTATCAGAATGGCGTTGCTAAGCGAGGGATTCGCTTCTTGCAAGACGAGGCGAGGGCAACACACCTACAAATGCGAATTCCGAGCTTTTTATGGGATCACGTGTGCACTGCAACATCGATCATCCTCAACCAAACGGGCCAATTAACAGTCGACGATACGCCCCTCAAGATCTTCTGGGACGCACTCGAACCCCACAATAATAACAGGCCCGATCTCAGCGAAGCAAAGATTATCGGATTGCGCTGTGTTATTTATATTGACGCGCAAAATTGCGTCACCGCTGAGAAGATGGAAGCGCGAGGCGCTAAGGGGATGTTCCTGGGATACGAAGGGGATCATAACTACGTCGTTTGGTTGATCAATGGAAACAGGTTTCTTCGAACACCACACGTCTATTTCTACGAATTAACAGGCGAAGCCGATACCGACGCCCCCAATCCGAAAGACCTCGTACGATCTCTCCCCCGTCACATCCAGCAGCGCCTCCGCCACCGATCGAAGGCCAAGGGCTACATAAAGAACAAGGACGAGAATATCGTGGAGGAGGATATCACAGATAAAGAAGACGGCTCTCTGAAGAAGAAACGAGGCTGCCCGAAGAAGACAACCCCTGTCTTTTCCTTTCCAGACGAATCTCCTATCATCGTATTTGCCGCCTGTGCTGTCCTTAAAGAGGGCGAGAGAGGCTCGCTTGACAACGAATTTGACGCGAATTTCGGCGGCTTCTATGTGGGAGATGACATACATACACTGGAGGAGGAGCTCAATCGCACTCTCGCTCAAGAGCTGCTAGATTACGAGCGTCAGGAGATCTTCGGTGATCTCTCTGAGAAAGAATACTACACTAAGCTGTCAGACGCGTACGCTCTCCTCGTCGCAAATGCTGATGATCCCACATTCAAAGAAGCCATATCAGGGCCTGAGCGCGAGCTCTGGATCAAGGCCATCTTCGTGGAGATCCGGGAGAATCTCGAGAGGGGAACTTTCAAGTTCCGACCACCAACAGATGCTATCTTGGGACACCTTATCGATGCCAAATAGGTCCTGAAAAAGAAGTATCTTTTAACAGCTGAGCTCGAGAAGCTCAAGGCGCGAGTCATTGCCAGAGGATTTACGCAACGCAAAGGGATTGACTACAATGAGACTGCCGCCACAACGGCGAAGGCAGCATCCTGGCGTATCATAATGGCACTCGCGGCCTTATTCGAGTGGCACATCATACAGGTAGACTTCGTCGCCGCCTATCTCAACGGTGAATTGGAGGAGCGCATATTCATGCGGCAGTTCCCTATGTTCAAAGAATATTTTAATGCATATCCAGAGGAGAAGGAGAGATACGGCTACCAGGAGGACTCGATAATCGAGCTCTGTAACCCTGGCAGAAAAGAGTTCGCGAGATCCTCAAGGCGCGAGGCTTCATACCCGTGATTAGTGATGATGACATCTATATCAACAGAAGTACGGGGGATATCATCGCCTCGTATGTGGACGACTTCCTGCTATTCGGACCCGACCTCCAGTGACTCAAGGATGTCGCCGCCAGTATCAAGGAAGAGGTCCAGATCAAGGATATGGGTGACGCTGATTGGTTTATCAGCGTCAGGATAGTCAGGAACGCAGAAGTTGGCGATGTGAGGCTTGACCAGGCGCAATATATAGCGAAGGCACTCAAGTCTATTAGATTTGACAAATCGCAACCAGTTTCTTCACCGTTTGACCCTATTAGCCAAGAGCACGCCTTCTTAAGGGATCGAATAGATCAAGCAACTAACAAAGAAGTATTCGAATATGCCTCCATGGTTGGTAAATTGAACTTCCCTGCGTATATAACACGCCCTGATCTCTCGTTTGCAACCTCAACCTGGGTGCAATTCATGAGCAATCTATTGCCAAAGCACTCTATAGCACTCAAGCGAGTGGCTAAATACGTCAGAGGCACTGTTAATTGAGGGATACCCTATTGCAAGCTGACGCCGCAGCACGAACACCATCAATATGGTGATTACGGACTGTTCGGCGCCTGCGATGCTGGCCTCGCTGGCAACCAGAATGATGCCAAGTCGATCACGTGATACGTGTTCTTCATGGCTGGCACGCCCGTCCTTTGGCGAATGATCGTTCAGAAGGTTGTCACCAAGGGCTCAACAGAATCAGAGTTCGTTGCCCTCAATGAAGCTGCTGAGGATGCCGCATACATTTGTAACCTGTTCACAGAGCTTGACTTGATGCCAGAGGGTCCTGTCACGCTGATACAGGACAATACCGGCGCAGAATCTTGGGCGAGGGACCCCAAGATGTCAAAGAAGCGCCGTCACGTCCGCCTGGCATACAATTATATACGTCAAGAGGTTGACAAAGGCATGATCAAGCTCGAGCATGTGAAGAGCGAAAAGAACCCTGCAGACGGCTTCACGAAGCCCTTAGGCATCCAGGCATTTGAGGAGTTTGTCGCCTTTTTGCAGATAGAGGATTTCTAAAGACAAAAAGAGAGAAAACACCAGGTTTTTGGCTATCTACACATCGTGGCAAGGGATATCTGGTCTCATAGCCTCCAGCACACAGCTGGAAGAGGGCGTGTGAGCAGAATCCATCTGTGTATGTAAGTATGATGAGGCTGCCAGTTGCCGTATCGGGTGACACAGGCTCTGTGGCCCCCATATATAGCGATCGTACACCAGAACAGAGTAGATAGACCTTTTCCTGAATACAATAACGCTGTACCGTTCATCACGCACTCATTGGATCCGGGATATTGCTCTCATCATATGATTATCTGGTCACCCTGATGGTACACCTGTACACATAGATGGGGGCTTCTCCCTCAGAGATCTTCTTCTCTTCTCTTCCCTTTGAATCTAGAACGGTTTGAAATCTCACACTAGTGTACTGAATCATTGTCAGGAAGCATGTCCCGGAGACAAAAGAACCATGGATGTACATATACATGGCTCCCACGCCTGACTCGTACTGTAGACCTCTGCAGAACAACATATATCTTACCCCCCCTATGGTTGGCCTTCTGACAACCATTGTTTATACATGGAATAAGCACTCTAGAATAAGAAACAAATATTGCTCATCAAATCGAATCGGCTTGTTCCAAGGTGCTTATTACATTTTACGAATATAGCATTCATGTCGAAAGGTCACAAGAGGCATGCCAAACAGAGACTTATAGTTACGGGGTGACTGTATTATACGTCATCTAGCTCATAGCCTATACCTAGGCACCGGCCATATGGTGCAATGGTCAAATGCGCTTGGTTGTGTTCTCGTTTGTGCGGTGAGCGATGAGAACAAGTGGGTTCAAATCCTGCTACGGCCCCCTTCTGACCCGGCTTGTACGAGTTGATAACCAGCACACTACAGTGGAGAGGCCCTATTATCGCAGAGCCCAATAGCCAAGCAGCTTGTCTCCATAATACCCACTCCTGTGAGGTTTTTCCCTTTGTGGTTTCCCTTGCTAGCAGATAACAAATACCTGTTTTATTCACCAATGCGACATATATCGGACGGCTACTGGAACGATGTGTACACCAGAAGACTGAGGTCTACTGGGTCGCTTTGTCACTGGACAGGAGGTTTTTCTGACAAAATTATGCTTGGGTATTGACTAAAAACCATTCAGACACTCCATGTTAGTACCGCTACAGCGAGGATGGGTTTGTGCGCAGACCTGAATATATCTAGACTGACACCTCTACAACCTTGCGATGCAATGGCTCTGTGAGGCGTGGTTTACCTTGTTGAGGCACTGCACCCACGATATATAAAATCAATCAATCAATCAATCAATATACCTAGGCACCATGAGAACTCGTGAGAGGTAAAGTAAAGGCATGAGCACATCATATAATGTATTGGTAACCAAAGTCAACCGTAATATTGTGTAACATCATAAGCCGTGATATAACAAAGTAATGACATATATTGTGTATGAGACTATGTGAGATTTCAAAGT